CAGGAGTTGGAGGGTGCTGTGAGCTGTAATGCCACGGCACTCTACCCAGGGGGATAGCTTGAGGCTCTGTCTCAAAAAAAAAAAAAAAAAAAAAAAGAAAGTAACTTCAAGCTCATTTTCCAGTGACAATGGATAACAGACAAAGGAGCACATTGCATTTCATATTGTCTTCTTTTTGTATGATTAATCTGCACTCATTTCTTTAAACCTCTGCTGATTGCAATGGAACACTTTTGTAAATAAATGAATATAAAATTGCATCTGTTCATTATAAACACTCCTAAAAAAACAGTACCAATGAACAGACATGTTTTGTAATCAAGATTTGACATTAGATTAACTGAATGTAAGGTTTAAAACTAATGAAATTTCTTGGTGGAGTGTAATTTTGATTTTGGGAGAAAGTCCTCTTACCTTTACATGAATTTTCTACCTGGACTATTTGCATTAACTGAAGTTAGAAATATCATAACAAAATAAATAGGTTGAAGCATATTTTTGGAATAATAAATGTTTTAAAGGACTGACCTATGTACAAACTATTAAAAGTTAACACTCATAACATTACATAAGTATATGTAATCATAGAAATGTTTCCCATAATATTCACTCCACACTAAACAAATATTTTATTCACATAAATGAATGCTTAAGTTGGCATACCCACATATACAACTAAAGTGCTTCTATGTTTAATAAATGACAATCTTCTCCTGGAATGTAATCCTCTCTGAGGTTAGGAAGAATTAAAGACAGGATTAAAATACTTAAAATTCTTTTATTTTTAATGCAGAAAAAAACACAGAAAACAGTTTGACATTTACAGTCTTGATTGACATCAAAGAAATGGTGGGGAAAAATGAAAAGTCCAAGAAATTAGCAATTTATCCTACATGTTTGTGAATTAATGTATTTTTATATACTTTGAAAGGCAAAACATGTGCCTCATTTTTATTAATAGAAAATAAAATTAACATCCATTTGCAAACATCAATTTCTTTGCCTGTATAGATATCTGTTATGAAACTTGTATAGTCACAAAATGCTATTATTTAAAATATGATTTTACTTGGTTAAATATATATTTATAAATTTAATAAAGAATCTCAAATGTTTATATTAAATGCCACCAGTCTTTAAAAATCAAATCATATCAGTCTTTACTTCTCTCCTGTGAACAATTAGGATTGAATAATTAAATAAGGTTGTAACATAGTATTGTGAATTGATTATGGCAAATGAAAATTGAATTCTTGACACCTTTTGGGGGGCACTAGAGAGTATTGTGTTACTGCACTTTTACAGTTAATTTAGCAATAAATAAGCAGCTACTCACTAAGTTGTAAGACCCTGTGCTACGTGCAGTAGGGCCGTGAATAAGAATAAGAAATACATTGTCATCAAGCTATCTATGCCTGACTAGAAGAAATAGATCAGGCATACAAACAAATATCATATGGATGGTCTAAAAAAGTGATACAAATATTCAGAGAAATTCCCCAGTGGAATTTTTGGTGAAGCCTTCCCAAAGGATCTCTTACTGAGCTTCTTAAAGGGTATGTTTCATGAGCACAGATGAGCAAGGGAGGGAATTTCTCCCCCTTGACATGACAACATTGTTCAACTAAGCTGGATGAAAACACTATTTCCAGGAGGTGTTAATAGGTATTCTGAGGTAAAGGTGGCTGTCATCAAATGAGTCTGAGAAAGCTATATGAAAATGAGGCAGACAAGTTTCTTCAATGTAAAAACATCTTAGACCCTTTAATATGCTAATGAGTATTAAGAATCTCCAAGAGAAGAGTTTCATGTGTACCCAATTTATTGGACTATAGCATGCTTTCCTTATGAAAAACCTATTAGCATCTCTGTAACTAATATCTGGCAAACGCTGGCGAAGGAAATTGTGGAGACAGTAAGTTCCGAATGCGAAGGGAGGAAAGGTGACTTAGGTGCAACAGAGGCTCTAGTTAGGGGAGTAATCATAGCCTAGGCTGCAAAGGGGAGATAAGGAAGCCCAAGCCAGACGGCCTTAAAATTCCTGGTAAGGAGATTTTATTTAATCCTGACTGCAACAGGCAACCATTGAACATATTAAAGCCTGGAGTGACAATAATCAGGGCAGTGTTTTAGGAAGATTAATTTGTCACTGACATAAAGGATGAATCTGAAGAGGAAGAGACGATAGGCAAGAGAAAAGTTTGAAAACAATTGTAATAGTCCAGGGAAGATGTAATGAGAGAGTGAAACTGAGGGGTTCAAGATTTTGATGCAAGGGGTGGGCCGGGAGTGGGAGTCAAGTCACAGAAAGAACAGACATAAAACAGTGACTAGTTTAATTTGTCAGGAGGTGAGGCAGGGAAAAAGGAAAGAAAACTCTAGCTTCATCATGTTAAAAAATGGTAGTAAAACTTAAGAATGGACACCAAGCTTGTTTGAAGAAAGAGAGAACACAAACTCTGGATTTGATTTCAATATTCAGTAGGAACTTCCTATGGGGCTAGCTGGACATAGAAGGTAAACCAAAGAGAACTGACACCTATTAAAAGGTGGTATTTGAATGTATGATACTGAACAGGATATAAGAGCAAGGATATATAGTGAGAAGAAGAGCAGAGGACAAGCATTGCAGAATGTTACCATCTGGGGAAGAAACAATAAAGAATTCTCAATCAAACAAAACTGAATTCTCAATCATGTAGAAAAGAAATGAGACGAGAGAGAAAGAGATATTCAGTGAAAAAAAAAAAAAGTATCAACTAAGGCAAGCTAAGGGTAGGGAAAAGCCACCACATTCGGTACTTTGGAGTTGACTAGTAACTTCTGAGGTAGATTTTCAATAGACTGATAGAAACAGATCCAGTCAATCAACAAACACCTACTGAGCACCTACTATGTTAAGACGTCAATTGCAATTGCTTAATATTCATTTAAGACTCTTCATTTGGCCGAGTGTGGTGGCTCATACATGCAATCATAGCACTCTGGGAAGCCAAGGTGGGTAGATTCCTTGAGCTCAGAAGTTTGAGACCAGCCTGAGCAAGAGTGAGACTCCATCTCTACTAAAATAGAAAAATTAGCCAGGTATTGGGGGGGGGGGCGCCTGTAGTCCTAGCTACTTGGGAAACTGAGGCAAGAGGATTGAACGCCTGAGCCTAAGAGTTTGAGGTTACTATGAGCTATGATGATGTCAGGACCCTCAACCCCAGGGTGGCAGAGTGAGACTCTAGCTTAAAAAAAAAGACTCTTCATTCTAGAAGAGTACTTATTTAATCAGTTCTAAAGTCTAGATACCCTAATTAAGAATTTAAATGTATATGGGAGGATGTCATTATAGGGAACATAGGCAGAAATGTAAAGTTTATAGATTTTAAAATGGATTTTATTTTTGATTTAAAGAGATACCAAGAAGCTATTGGGATAATTACAACTAATGAGCATTTCTATACTCTTTTTAAAAGAAAATACCGTGCACCCAATTTTTCAAGTTATCATAAAAATTTCATCTCAAAAACAGTCTTGCCTGTGTAATATATTCTGTTAAAAAATACTCAGGGCCAGACCAGTTTGAACAACTAATGCCTTATTTTTTTTCCAAACATTAAAATGATTTATTGTCCTGAAAAATCAAATCGGTACGGTTATTTCAACTAAAATGTGAAAGTGCCAAAAAGTCTCCTTCTGGTGACATTTTTCCTTCTATCTAACAAGGTAATTGTCTACCATTGAACTCACTGACATGACACAAAGTCTATATCTTCTTTCATTACCTGGGTTCGAAGTTGCTGGATTTCTGTTTCAAGTTCTTTGATTTTTTCTTCTTTCTTTTGAAGCTCAGCTTGGGCTTCCTGTCGAGCTGTGAATTCTTCATCGAACTGCAATGATCACCACCATAAATGTACAGTTAATACTATAGTTTTGAGAAAGCTTTAAGTAATATTATGTATTAAGTGGAATGATTGTTGCTTAGCTGAATTCCCAGAGCATTCAGAAAATCAGAACTCTTGATTATTTTCATGCCAATTAAGTACCCATGTGGGGATAGGAAATTGCTGGTGGTAATGGTAGGAATAAAGAGGAAATATGCTCCCTACCCAAGGTAAACAAACCCATTTTCACTTCTGAAAAAAATACAACCCTACGTTCAGGCTAGGTACAGTGGCTCACCCCTGTAATCTTAGCACTCTGGGAGGCTGAGGCAGGTGGATTGCCTGAGCTCATGGGTTCAAGACCAGCCTGAGCAAGAGCAAGACCTTGTCTCTAAAAATAGCTGGGCTTTGTGGTGGGTGTCGGTAGTCCAAGCTACGCAGGAGGCTGAAGTAAGAGAATCGCTTGAGCCCAAAAGTCTGAGGTTGCTATGAGCTAGATGCTACAGCACTCTACCAAGGGCCACCAAGTCAGACTCTGTGTCAAAAAAAAAAATACAAAAAGTTGACTGAGAAGTCTGCCTTTACATAATGCATATTTGTATTATTTTTTATTGAAAACTCAATTTTAGAATAATTTTTTAAATATTTCACCTCATTTAGTTTAATGATTAAGAGGAGGAAATCCAAAAATATGCCATCAAGCAATTTCCATTCTTTAAGTATATTTAATCTTGAAACGAGATTACACTTTGAGAATGTTTAAATGATTGTACATTAATACCAACTGGAATATTTCTATTGCAGCCTTAGTTGCCTAGCATCCAAAAAGTGGTACTCCAAAAACTCTGATGGTAGAATGATAAATGCTGTGACAGCTTTCTCCTTCAAACAGTTAAACAAAACTCTTGTACAACATGTTAGAAGAAGGAAAATGGAAAGTTAATATATGGTGTGCTAAGCCAAAGAGCATGCCTGAATGGTGAATCTTCATTTGCCGCATCCTGCCCCAGCCTTTTCCTTGGACAGGGCTTAAAGCAGGCACAAATCAGCCTGCCTATTTACAGTGAACACTGCCAAAGTCCAGCTACAGAACATTTTATTTGCCTTTTATTGTCAATGTCACCTCAAGTCATTTTAGAAGTCTATACATTATTCCCACAATATTAGTTCTGTTTCTAAAAGTGATATATCTTACTGCCCAGAGTTGTCTTTAGCGTTTGTGGAACAATACTAATGTATGTTCACGGTTAATAAATATTCATCCTTATAGTAGATTTGACCTTTGAAAATGATAAAACGCCATTCTGATCTATGTCTAAAGAAAGAGCACGTAAGCACACTAGGTAATAATAGTGTTTGGGTCAAACCTGAAATACCACTTAGTAATGTATCTCTACTGGAGTTGCTGGAAAATGTTCCACAGAAGCTGGTCCAAATTTTTTCTAATCTCTTTAAATTTCAAACTCATCCCACATCCTAAGAGTGAAGGATCCATAGATTCTTCAGTCAATGACCTTGTTATCCTAGTTGACTAAGATGGATTTCCTCCAATGTGACCTTGCCCGCCTTCACTACCATACGTGTTACGATTTCTCTAAATCTATACTCCCATTCCCACTCCCAAAGTCAGCATCTTCTGTGTGCTTCTCAAACCTGGTGTCTACATAAGCACACTGTATGTAATATCTTCCCTTTATAAATGGATTGTTGGTACATTTGAAGAGAGGCACATGATGTTTCTGATTTGAATTTAAAATTATGTTTATCTGTAAATACACAGAATAGGAATCACAGAAGCCTGAAATATCTGAGCTGGAAGAGGTTGTCTTCCAAGTCCGTTAATCGTATCCTCTCTTTTTAATGATGAAGAAACTAGGATCCAAGCAAGTGGCTTACTTAAAGGCAGAGCTAATTAGTGGAAAACTGAGATGCCTCACAATCTAACACATTCTTAAAAGTGACTTTATACTGCCTCTTAAAATGACTCAGAACAAGAGAATGCATGTAGCTAACTACTGGAACACTATATATATTTTTTCATTCTAAATGCTGGTGATGAGACTAGCATCAAAAGCTGAATTTCTCATCTGTTATTTCAAGACTCCTTTTCCCATAATATACACTTACATAAAACTTTCCCAGACAGATAATCACAATTTGCTCTAGTCTTGTGGTATCTAATCACGGTCTCAGCCCAAAATTAAGGAGAGTCTGAGATTTTCAAAGGGAATTTTAAATATGCTACTTAAAACAATAAAATTAGAAATATAAAAGTCTATTAATCAGAAAGCATGCATTTTCTTTCTCCAATAAAAATGACAGCTTCACACAAACATTTTATGCTCAAGCTCTTAAAATCTATTCTAGTAACTGAAAGAGCAAAGATATTTCTTTAGATGCCCTGAAGTAACTTCAGTAATACTCGATAATTTCTAGAGTGATAGCAAAAGTGATTATCTAATCTCCAAGGTAAGTCATAACTTTGAAGAGACAGCAATATGTAACCACTTTATCTTGCTGTCAGAAGGCTGAAAACTAGCGAGTTTTTAGATGTGTGCTTCTATCTTTCTCCCTTTACCCAATAGGAGAGAAATATTATACTAATGCTTAACAGGATCTAGAATGAAAGAACGAAACTTTTGGTAGAAGCTAATAAAACTGTAGATATACTTTCATGAAAAAAGGTAAAGGACAATCTTAGATATAAATCAAATTAAGATAGTCAAAAAGCTGTCATTTACTTGAAGGTATTTATATAAGATATTAACACTGAGAGAAAGGGGTACCTCAGATTCCACCAAGCCTTTATCAAGTAGCAACATCATCTTAAAAGTAGTAATTACAAAATTCAAAGAAGCTAAGTCTAAGCAGAAAGGCAGAGAGGGAGAGGAAGGGGAGAGAAGTGGAGGAGGAGAAGTGGAAGGGGGAGAAGGAGGAGGGGAAGAAGGACGAGGGGGAGAAGAAGGGGAAGGGGAAGAACATTGCAACATTCCCTTGCTATCAACAGCACTGACTTTAAAGGTCATAACAGATAAGACCCCCTAAATATGTCAATTCTCCAAAGAGCTACCTACTGCAAGTAAGAACTATGGGGAAGCAATGGGGGGATTTATTTTGGTTGATTGCTTCTAACTATACTCCTTCAGTAACCTAATTTTATTTCATGTATCATTTAGTATAATATAGCTAGTGTTTTTCTTCCATAATGGATTAAAGGTGATGAGGAGGAAATAGTAGCAATCTTATTAGAAAATAAATCAATATTCTGTGGTTATATCTGTATCCAGAAATATAAAATACTCAATAAATAAAACAACATCTATAAATACTGACATAAAGAAACAAGGTAGAATATGTTCTATGATTAAATTATTAATTTAATAATTATGGCTACTATTTTATAAGCCTTACCTTCTTTGAAAACTCCACTGCTTTTTGTTCACTTTCTTCAACTTTTGCCTTGTTCACACAAGAATCTATTAAGATTGACCAAAAGTGATTAGATGGTTACCAGCCTATAATTCTACTATGCAGACTATCATTTTTATGCCAATTGCTATTAAAGGGAAATTAACCTATACTACAAGTAAAATATAAGTTACCACATTTTGTTTCTTTAGCATAAAAACTGAATTCAGTGATAGTATTATTGAGGTACAAAACCAAGCATCCATAAAAATAGGGTGGACATCAAGTTCATGTACAATTTATAATAGTTGTAACTTTAAATTGTGCACAAACTTTATGTCCACTCTGTATTTTTGATTACATTATTACTTAAGGATATTCAATTATTTTCCAACTTTTACAATGATATACCCTTCAAAAATATTTTTACAGTTTATTATTGATGTAGATGTGGCAAAGACTTAATGTTTAAGATTATTAAGATTCAAAATGGCATTTTTTAAGAAGCTGGAGGGATAGATTGGCATTCATTAATTCAGAATTTCTAGTGAAAGATTTTACTTCTGATCTGCGGCAAAATGTATCATATACATAAGGAAATAAACTTGAAACTTTTCAAGTCCAATCAAACATTTCAGAATACAAATGTGTGAAAAGGCTCTTTTGGTAACACTATATCTCTCATTATTACATACAACTCTATTCTGTATCTAGCGGTTCCACACCTACTTACCCAAAAGAAATAAAAACATATATCTGTACCCAGACTTAAGGGAGAATGTTCACAGAACATTTATAATAGCCAAAAAGTGGAAAGAACTCAAATAATGGTCAACAAGAGAAGGTATAAACAAATAGTGCTATATCAATATACTGGAATACTGCTCAGCAGTAAAAAGGAATGAATACATGTGTATTACAACATGAATGCATCTCAAAATAACTATGTTGAATGAAAGAAGACAAAAAGAGAATACATGCTATATGTGTCTGTTTATATAAAATTTTATGTAGGGAAACTAATAAGAGAAACTATAAATAAAATGGACATAGTAAGAGAGAGATCAGTAGCTGTCTCAGGATGGGAGTCATGGGAAGAAGGGATGGAAAAGAGAATGCAGATACATTCAGGGGTGATATAGATGTTTAGTATCTTGACTTTGACGATGGTCTTAAGTGTACATAGAAATACCAAAATTACCAAGTTGTATACTTTACATATAGGCAGTTTTTCTTATGTCAAATTTATTACAAACTGCCTTTTTATTAAAATAATGAGAGGCTGGAGCAAAGCAACCAAGGAGGAAAGTGGTAAATGATGGGGTCAAAGATGGGAAATACCTGTGCTGTCCTAGCCATGGTTGGTAATGATTCTGATTAAAATTTCAATGAGAAAGCATTGGAGAGTTTTAGGCAGAGATCTGATATGATCTGATTTATGAAAGATACTTATAGAACTGTGAAATCAGAAGAGCCTCTAATCTCTTTAGGTCTAAGGAATCTCAAAATAGAGATCCACCGATTTCCTAGAAGTTCTTGAAGCCCTGATAATTTTAGTGTGTATGAATCTGTGTGTGATATAATGAAAGTTTGATAGCATTCATCAGGTTCTCAAAAAGCATTTTGAACTTAAAATAGTAGGAACTACTCATACATTGGACTTATTTGCTTTTAGAATTCAAACTGAAACCTAGAAAATTCAATGATTTGTTCACAATCACGTAGATGACATATGGATGAGATCATAATGGGTTTACAATACTGACTATTCTGTCTCAACTGATGACTTCGTCTCTCCTCAACACCTATGCTTTTGATTAATAGTATACGATCATAAGTACCTGACACACAGTACACAAATATCTGTTGAACACTGAATAAGGTAGCCAAAATCAACAACAGAATGAACATGTGTGCCAACTACAGTCTATAATGGACTATAAGTCAATACATATATTTGGACACAGTCTCTTATGACTGTGACTCCCTCAACAAAATATAAACTAGTAAGTTTAGCAAGCTCAGTGAAAAATATGCAGTGAGGCTGGCATTTACATTCACTGCCAGGTAACATAAATTGGCACAAGCTTTCTGAAAAGCATTTGGCCTATGAAAGTTCATACCCTCACTTATAGAAAGAAATCAATCCCAAGGAAATAAGAAAAAAGCCAAACATTTATATACAAGAATGTTCAAAGCAGATTCATTTATATTGTGAAAACCCAAAATTAATCTAGATGTACAATAACAGAGGACTGATTATGGTGATTATGATATTACAGAAAATGGAATATTATACAGACATTAAAAGTCACATTTTGAAGGTTAACTGAAAAAAATTATCATAATGTTCCATGAAAAATTAGCACATACACAAGTGGATGGATAATAAAGAGCTATAAGGAAAGGTACTGAGCTGAAAAGAGAGCAATAATGGTAGTTTATCACTGTATAAATCTGTAGAATACCTATATGTAGGTCACTACAAAAGTTTTGAGACAGACTGTATTATGGTCCATTATTTCACTTCCAAGAAACACAACCAACAATGTCCTTTACTTTTTTTTTTCCTTTTTTTTCTTTTGACAATGACCTTTCTAATTCACCTGTGCAAGTTTCAACTTGCTCAGCTTACGGGTGTTGCTGGGAGAGTTTCATGTGTTTCTGTCTGTGCAGATTTTACATTTTTTTGATTTTCTGTATCTCGATACTTTCATAAAGTGTCACGTCATAAGTGCATATTATGTTTCAAAACAGAAAAGAATGATACATAAATAATAATAAGGTATCCATCTTTGCATATTACTGTGAGTTTGCCCTGTGCTTAAGGAGTGAAAAATAATATACAATTGGCATTCATAGCTATTGTTTTCTTTCTTTAAAGACAAGACAAATGAGTTCATGGCTGAACCTTAGCAATAGTGATTTCGATTAGGTATAAATAAAACTGCTTAACTGTAAGGACAGATAGCCTAGCACATTTCACAAGGGAAGCTTCACATCATCCTTCAGAGATTGTCCAGAAAGTATTGCTAACTACCAGTCTAGGATGATATAAGGTCATTTCCTCAGCAATCCAAGGAGATGAATATGATCACCTCAAATTCTTTCCTCAGCCAGAGGTCCATGAAAATATAAATTGATCTATTTGATTGGCTTAAAAGGTCCCAAGTTACTGAAATAAACCTATTTCTTTTCTCAAATGTGAACACTAATAACATAATACTAATGAGACCCTATTGTACATATGATTTCTACAAAACCACTAAGGTGCCAGTATAAAATGAGTTAAAAGATTTCATAGTCATGCTTCTAAATAGTAAGGCATTCATCTATAATCATACAATGGCTTTTTGTGGGACACTGAGTTTAACCTGAATTCAGCAGTGTTAAAACTTGTTAAACTGGTTAATATATCCAGTCACAGAGGCAGAACTTTTATGATTATCATAATTAACAATTGCAGTATTTGAGTACCCAGGGACACACTGATTTACCAGATATGTATGAATAGCAGTAATAATAGTGCCTGTTATAAAGAAAATATAAAATACAATCAAAGGATAGTAAGGAATATATTACATACCTATTAGATGAGTTAAATCAATGTCTAATCTTTGCCTGTACTTGAAATCTGGATCCATGCCACTGCAGTGCAGCACTATCTGTGAAACACACTCCTCAATTATTTTATAATACTGTGGCCTGAAAATGAGAGGAAAATATTCATGAATCCCTTTTCTATGTATGCAAATCAATTTTTCTTAGAAGGTATTCAACAACTAAGTCTTTTCTAGTGCCTTCTAGCCATTACACTCCCTTAAGAGAAATATGCCTAAGCTTAAAGATTGTCTGGATATTACAGTGTTGAAGCCATTATGATATAATCAACTCCAAACATTCAGTAACTTAACACTTTAGTTTGCAGGGATTTATGCTTGTGTTCAAAGATATTTATCAACCTTATCTATTTACTTAAGCTCTTGCTTCTAAAGTTAATGAAAATAAATGAGCTGTTAGTCCTATGTCCACGGATATAGAAATGGTTTTAGGTATCTACAAGTTCTCAATTTCAATAAGGGCTGAGCTTCTTGGCATTAGGTTGGCAAGGAACGTCTTGAATTTACTAAAGTACTTTTACCCAAGATAACTATAACAGCTTACAAAACTAGACTCAGCCACTTATGTTACAGACTATTCCAAAGATCTATTCATGCACTGTATTTTAAAAGATCCATTTGAAAAAGCATACACACTTAATATGCATGGCGATAGCCTCAATTTGTCTAAAGTGTCAAAGGTTTTAAAACATATCCTAATTCTGTAATCAATCAAGGTAATTCTGGCCTTAAAAAATGACCACTTGCATACCAGAAAAAATTTTTAAAAGAACTTTTGCATTAAAATTTGGGATAGATTTAGTTTTTGTCAGGGTGCAATAAATTCAACAGAGAAAAATCAGTAAGAAGTACTACTGTAGGCAAATCATGACATAAACATGCCCAAATACAGTGTGCTGGAAACTAGCCAATCAACTAAAGTTTGAAAATGAAGGCAAATAGATTCCAATTGCTTTTCATGGGGCTGGTCCCAAGAATAAGAATAAATAATAAAATATGTTATACATATGGGGCTTTTTCAAGTCATCCTCAGGTCTAGGGTAAATAACGATGGGTTATAATTTCAGTCTACTCAATCACTATTTGGGCAAATGAGGAAAACACACTGTTCTCTTTGAGGCCAATTTAATCATCCCTACACACTTCTGCCTCACATGGATGTTCTTAGGATGCAAAAGATGCCATATGAGAGGAACTTCTCACTTACTCATAGTTACCCAGAAATGGATACTTTCATACAAATAATGTCCCCAGGTAATTGAGTACTCATGGGCAAATTATCCCTTTAATTGTTAGAACTAAATTTAGAAAACAACAATCATTTTGAATGCATTACTGCTTTTCCTGCTCAAAAAATAACATGTAATTTTATATTTTTAACTATTTCCTATGTTTCTATAAAATCGCAATGCGCACCAAATTATTGTACTGTTCTGAACTTTAATAGTTCTCTGTATTGTTTTAGAGCTGTCATTTTTGCTGCAACTATACCTGACCTCATGGTAGCCTTCTTTTTCCCTTTAGTCAAGCAGGTTTTCACAAATCAAAGAACCTATGTTGTCAGAATTTCATGCAAATTAAAATATGAAGAAGAGCTAAGAGTTTCCTAAATAGTTAAATATAACATCATAGTCACCAGTCTGTGGATAATTTCAGTCACTCAGAAACCTTTGTATAACTTTCTGGTTTCCAGATAACTAAATTAGTCAAACTTTTAATTTTATGGGCTATTATCATAGTCATTTGTTTTGAGGAATTGAATTACTGGACATAAAACAGAAATATTAGCTTTATTTTCTTAGATGTTAAGATCACATTTATTACTAGATAAATGCTATAAAAGAAACACAGCAATAAAACTTTATTTAAAATGCACAAGATAAAAATCTAAAAATTCTTCCCTAGAATCTTCAGTGCTGTCCCTGTTACCATTATCTCAGAAAGAATATTCATCACAGAGTCAGTAAAATCTGTTGCATTCCTTGCTACTAAAAGTCCTATGGCTAGGGGATCCCATTTTAAAATAAATGAATATGTTTTTTAAAAATATTACCGAAAGTAGTCAAATCTTTATACTATAAGTATGAATATAGGCATGTATTACCTAGCCCCAACTACACTGTTAATCTTCCTTTAATACCCCATTCAAATTATAAACATTGCACTCTCACAACTATATCCTACCTGATATAATAATCATTTCTGATGAGCAAGAAATGTTGTAGAATGGATAATAAATAATTTTCTGCAGCAGTGTCCTTCAACATATTGTACAGAAGATGGTATATTTCATTCATATCAGTAAAAAGTAAGTAAAGGAAAAAAGCAACTAAATTTTTTAGAACACGGAATTATCATTTTGCTTTTATTGTTATTTCTAAACCTTCAACTCCATGATCCAGTACTTAAAAGATTTACACAAAGGAAATTATTCTATGGAATCATTCTAACCTTTTAATAGAGAAATAAACTTAAAGAGCATTTCCAAGACCATCTGGGTGTCAAAATCTTAAATGTCAGTTATTCACTATATTTTAAACCAGATTATAACTGGTACCATTGGAACAGGAACCCTACCAGTGAAAATGGTTTCCTCTTGATCTCCCTGTGACTGCGATAGAGAACCTATGTTATTCACGCAAGCCACTACTACAGTATTTATCACTGCTACATAATATAGAAGGCATATGAGCATGTTGTGAACTGCTAAAAGGTCACAAAACTCATTTTATTTTATCTAGATTAAATACTAACTAAATCTGAAATTATTGTTGTTTCCATTCATTTTGTATTTCATTATTTGAGAAAAGATGGAGAGTAGAGGCACTGAAACATTTTCTTACAATATAAAAAGAATGGTAGAAGTTCCGAAGTTTTCAGTAAACTAGAAATTAGATTTTAAAAATGAATTCATTTTTATTGCAAAAGTGAGGACCTGGAAAATCAATGTAAAATAAAGGTAAAAGACAAGATGCAATCCAACATCCTAAAAATAACCTGAAATGTCAACATTTTCTCTGAAGTAGAATTAAATATATGATGAATTACTTCTTAGATGCCACAGAAGAGTATTATAATTCTCACAAGGTCTTTCAAATAGCTACAGAATGAATCCAAAAATAGTGTTATGGGTGAAGCTCGATTATAAGAGAACTTTATATAAATTAAGATATTTATTAATTGATATAAATTTCTTTTAATATTAGAAAAGCCACTGAAGACTAGCATCATTAATGGTGAATAAAAAATTACTAGACATTATTCCTTATAATAATAACATTGTTATTTCCTGCGCACACATTTAACCAGTACTATGTGGAGACTTTCATAGGTGTATTGGAGTAAAAAGATGAAACATAACATTTTTGCCCTCAATCTCACAGGGGCAGAGAAGTGTACATAAATAAAATAGAAAAAACAAACTACTGTGGGAGTTTCAAGGAGGGGTATAGTACTTCTAGCTTTTGGTAGGGGGTGGAGAACACAATACTGAGAAAAAGTCCAGCTAAAAGGTCATTTTAGTTCTGAAGTGTTTCCCAACATTCCCAGAATCCATAAGTAAGAAATTTAATGGGTGTGAAACAAATGGCCAGCAAGGTTATGACAATCATCCCTTAGATGCAAAATCATTTCTTACAAAATCGTTGCCATGGGAAGGTTATATACTAGTCATATTTGACTCAAATGATTAGGCCACATAGCCTTATTATGGTCAGATACTATTGTATCAAATTATCTTTGTTATTGTTAAGAAACACAGATAGTTGTATAGGAAATAATACATTTATCTGAATTGGACTGTATCCCTAAGTCACTGGAGTACCACTGAAAAGGGATATTACCTATAGTCGCATATGAACTCAGTGAACTTTTTCCCCAAATCCTTACACGTTAGATATACTGCCTTAGGCTGTTCTCTATTCAAGACCACTGAGCAGAGTACACCTAAAATACAATGAGTCTTTGTGCGGCTTTCAATATATTCTGTGTAAATCATCAGGACAGTCTGACAGCTCCTCGGCATGAATCTCAAGGACAGGATCACAGCGAGGTTTAAATGTAAATAAATGGATATAAATTGGGCTGGCAGACAAGAACGCTAATAATGGTCTACAAATCTCTTTTTCACAATACATGCAAAATTATTTTTGTGGTTTGTCAAAGGATATTCCATTTCTGCACGGATGTCATTGAGACGGTGTGATAATTCAGTTAGGTCGTCTTCTTTGTTCTCATCAAATACTTTCAGCTGAATGTCAAGCTCATCATTCTCTTTTTCTTTTAGATCCTAATATATAAACATAAAACTTAACAAACGAACAACAGTTTGACAACAGCATAGTTTCATAATAAAGGGCAGAACACAATCATTCATTTATATACACAGAAGCAATTTCAAATATTGACCCAGGCACTTGGTTTCCTGAAAGAAAGTAAATGTAGCTAAATTTTTCTATTTCAAAATAAAAGGACCTCATTGCATTCCTTGCATTTTCTTTCCCATGCCCCAGATTTTAATTATTCACATAAAAAAATTAACGATCACTTCCACAACAGAAAAAAAGTAATTGCTAACAACCCAAATTAAATGCTGTCGTTTTGACTAAACACACTAATCAAAGATCGCAAAAGAACTCATGCAGTTAGAACATTCACATATGCCTCTGGCAAAAAATGCAAATACAGATCGATTGTATTAGTGAAGAACAAATGCAAGGATATATTCAAGCACAACAGTCCCAAGTATGGCGTTAAAAGTTGGATAAACAAATTAAAATGATATTTTGTGATTTTAAAGCAAAAAGGCATTAGGACTTTTTATTAAGCTACATATCTAGTCTCCTCCCCAACCTTTCATTTTTGCTTAGCCTAATCACAAGATACCAACTTGAGCATAAAAGATATGATTTTGTAATACATTATAAGCACATGCATTACAAACCTCTGATAATTTTCAAAATAATAGTATAAAAAAACTTTGGAAGCATGCCACACTAGAGATTGTTGAGCTTAATATATATCACCTGGAATATCTTTTAATATGTGTCCATTAAGTTGCAGGTTTCAAAACCCAAATCGATAATCACAACTGTGGATGTTCAAGGGTGATACCGAAAATGGGACTAGGATGTTCAGAGCTGAGCTTCAACTCTAAAAGGAAATGCAAGCACGGTGTACTTCAAATTAGGTAGATAAAACAAAATGGGATGCATTTCTTGTTTCTATAGAACAGTTATATTAATAAATGGAGGTGTAATGGCTATTACTGAAGCCAACTTAGGCAATTTCTAGATGCTGTTTTTCCAACATTGACATACATATTATTTTATTCAAAATTTACCTACAGAGCATATGAAAATAATACTAATGTTAAGTACATAATTTCATTAAAACATATAACAAATAAATGTATTTACACTCAGTTTCCTCTTTGAGAATGACTTTCAGGCTGGGTGTGGTGGCTCACGCCTGTAATCCTAGCACTCTGGGAGGCTGAAGCGGGTGGATTGTCTGAGCTCACAGCTTCCAGACCAGCCTGAGCCAGAGCAAGACCCCCTCACTTAAAACACCCGGGCGTTGGGGTGGCACCTATAGTCGCAGCTACTCAGGAGGCTGAGGCTGAGGCAAGAGAACCGCCTGAGCCCAGGAGTCTAAGGTTTCTGTGAGCTATAAGGCCATGGGGTACTCTATCCCAGGGCCACTGAGTGATACTCTGTCTCAAAAAAAAAAAAAAAAAAAAGAACGACTTGCTTTAAGTCTAGTTTTCCATTTCAGAGGGAAATGAAGAAATTTGTTGGAATGCAAAACCACCTACCACTGGTAGGTCATATTATCAGGTGATTTCTGAACTCTAATTAGAAAATCATAGAAGCTAGACATACTCAATATGCTGGTCATTGAAGAAACAACTTTTCACACATAAAGGTATGGATTTTTCCTCATTTTTATGTTATATTCTCTCTCAGACATTCATCATAAAACTTGAATATTTGCAAACATGTTTGAAAAACAGGAAATTTCCAGTTAAATGCTGTTATTTAATTAGCATGAGCACTGAACAAAACACAGAAATCTGCATGATTAAAATATTTTTAGTGAAAATAGCTGGTAAATGTGCAATTCAGTTCTTAATTAGATCTAGACATTATCTCTACTATATATATAGTATGTGAGCATATATAACACACAATATAAATACAGACAGGTATATGTGCAATATTTTGTAAATATTCTTTATTATTAATGCTTCAAACCTATTAAAATACAGTATGTACTCTTTTATCACCATCCATAGATTCTTAGAACCTGTCACTTGAAGCAAAACATATAACAAAACCAGTACTTTCTTTTCTTCAACATTATAACAAAGCAACATTATTTGAGGGTCAGCTATATGATTTCACTTCAAGCCCTACTTTCCAAAATTGACTAATGACATTAAGTCAATGGAGGATTTACAGTCAACATATTGACTTAGTCAATATAGTCAATTAAGGATTTACAGTCAATATATTTGTATACATATGTATACTTCCTAAAACTTCCTTTCAGCAAGATCTCAAACCTTGAAGATACATCCATAAACTTTTTTTTTAAATTTCAGATTAATATGAGGGTATAAACGTTTAGGTTACATTGTTTTCATTTCTTAGGTAAAGTTTAAGTTGTAGTTGAGGCCTTCACTGGGGGAGTGCTGGATACCCTTACATTGTGCCCATTAGGTGAAAACCGACCAATCATCATCCCTCTTTCGCTTTCTCTTTTCTCTCCCCCCTCCTCCCTGTCTCTAGAATGTATTTGCATTTTTCTTTCGTGTGGGCAGATAGTTGTTTATATATTGGTTTTATATTAGTATTGAGTACATTGGATACTTGTTTTTCCCTTCTTATGATATTTTATTAAGAAGAATGTGTTTCAACTCCATCCAGGTAAATACAAAAGATGATATATCTATAAAATCTTGATGAAACAATGAAGAATTTATAAAATGTATATAGCACAAATAATAAGATAGATAGCCTATAAAATAAAATGGAAATGTACTACTAAGGTATTATATTTTAAAATGTAGACTATCACAAAATTATTGAATTACACTGTTACTAATTATCTAAAATATTGTAAATACACTCCAGTTATTTATTAAACAGACCTGCTGCATACAAATGGAACTTCTTTTTGCAGAATCCCTGAAATATATAATTAACTTTCTATAACATAATTTTCATCAAAAGAAATCAAAGTCTATTACCAACGTGCTACTGATTAACAATCAAACAGGCAAAATTGAGTCTTCAAAAGAATAAGAGATTGTTGAGTCTTTTCAAAAGAGATAAAGTATGCCCACTGACTACAAACACAATTTCTTACTAAGTTGTTCCTTCACATATTTGATTTACCTAATATTTACATAATTTACTTAACTAAATAAAAGGCAGATAGAGAAAACTTCACAAGAAATCAATGTCAATTAAGTACACAGTAAATGCGATTTTAAAAATCGCTATAGAGTTTGTAACAACTCCTTTATTCCAAATCACTAAAGCAAACTTGTCAAAAATGAATTTTCTATATAAATAAAATACAAACTCACTTAAAACACCAAAATTTAACCATAGGGATGGGAAATTTTTTTAAATAAACTTTTACAGAATATAGTTTAAATAATTGCCTTATCTTGAGGATCTTGAAAATATTAGAAAAAAGGTTCAGTCTATAATATTATTGTGTTGGTCCCAAGTTTTACTGAAATACTAAGAACTGTTTTTCTCTAACATTAAATGGTTTTAGATTGGTATAATTTTTTAGCCATATGTCAACAATTAACATTAGCCCTAGCCATGTCTATGTTGCTTCTTTGAATATGTTATATTCTAGAAAATTAGGGAGCTCTTCTCATTAGAACTATGTATAAGGTCAGAATAAACTGGGTACAAGGGAGCAAGCCTATAATTCCAGCAATTTGGGAAACTAAGGGGAGAGGATCACTTGAGCCCAGGAATTAGACACCAGCCTGGAAAACATAGTGAGATCCCTTCCCCACTTAAAAAAAAAAAAGAAGAAGAAATATGGAAAAAAGTAAGGATTTTAAAGACTCACATGTGAATATATTATTAAGTTTTACTGCATATATAAAGGATATTTAATGTTACCATAAATTCATAAATTCTAATGATTTAAATTTAAATATTTAATTACTGAATAGTAGTTGACATGTGAGGTTTCTAGTATACATTAGCAGATAACCATTCTTTCCTGCTCCAAATTGTGATAAACTACAACAACAGAAGTGAAATCTATCTACCTGGAGAGGAGATTTTTTTTTTTTTTTTTTCAAATCAAACATCTCTGCTCTATACCCCATACAATTTTGATAATCTCACTTCAGGGAGATATGCCCTACCTCTTACTTGAGAATCAGAGCCATATTTAGTCATATTTAGCTGCACTGTTTTAGGGAAAGAAAAAAAAACTGAGAGTCCCTATAGGTTCTACTCCAAAATTTAAAGAGCAGAAACATAATTTCCCACTTTTTATCTGATGTGGAATAACTGAGATCTGAGAAGCAAAGCATACTGAAAAGATGTGATAAAGTCTAATTGGAAGTATATATTAAGAATACACGTATTAAGAAGTACATGTGGCACCATGAGAGGCTTTATATAGAAATACATGGGCAATGGAAAAGTATAGGTTAGAAACACTGAAGCCCCTCTCTATCTCAGCTGTCAGTGTAACCAAATGAACAACATAACATGAGACTCACTAAGCCCAGCAGAGGTTACTCAAAAAAATGTGTAAAAAGTAAGGACAAGAACTATCATATCATATCTTTTGTAATAAGATAAAGACTAACATGAATTAAAATGAGACTCAGTTTTCTTTTGTTTTTTTAGAGACAGAGTCTCACTTTATTGCCTTTAGTAGAGTGCCGCACTATCACAGCTCATAGCAACCTCCAACTCCTGGGCTTAGGAGATTCTCTTGCCTCAGGCTCCTGAGTAGCTAGGACTACAGGCGTCCACCACAACGCCCAGCTATTTTTTTTTAAATTGTTGTAGTTTGGCCGGGGCTGGGTTTGAACCCGCCACCCTCAGTATATGGGGCTGGGGCCCTACCCACTGAGCCAAAGGCGCTGCCCGAGACTCAGTTTTTTTGACTAGCAATTCACTAGTATAGCGCAGAAAATAAATGTTAAATCATAGAGGGAAATGAAAGATAGACGAATAATAGCAACAACTAAGGCAGAAAACAGGGCATGTTAGTGAGGAGAGGATGGTATAGAGCTGTTACAGCCAGCAAATGTCCAAAGACATTACTTTGCCAGAAACAAGGAACTAGTCCAGCAAGAACAAGCATGGAAACCAACAAGAAGGCAACTTAAAAGCAAACTAGAATCAAGATTATAAAATTATCTCTAGCTATTTAAGGCCACAGACTTTGCATGAGAAGAAATTAGTGATAAAATGAGAATAAATATATGCTGCACACAATACAACCTGCACACTGAACTTCTACACAGGTCACTTAAAATGTTGTTTCTGTTTACTGCATCCAATTCCTTCATGTGTTAAATTTAAGAATTTAAAAACCACTCAAAGTGGGATTGGCATAGAAATTTCCAAAACCAAGAAAATCTGATTACATATCTTATTACAATGAATTTAAACAGCCCCAATCATATAACTTATTATGACAGGTTTGAACCATTTTAAGTTAAGAATGCTCGATTATAGATGTGGTCTACACAATGGTTCCTCACCAGGAAACTTCCCTAATTTTGGACTTTATAGTAAACTAAGTCTTACATACATGATCTTTGACATTTATTGTTGTTTTTCCTTTTCTCCGTACCTTTTTTTCCCCTCCTTTACTATTACTTCTTATCTTTCAGGTGTGTTCTGAGTAGCTTAAATGAAGGTAGTTGTGAGATATTACTTGTCTCCATTAACAGCACCATGGTCATAAAGTAAGTCACTTTTCAGTTAACTTACTAATAAAATATAAAGCCACTGTAGTTGTACTTATATTTACATAATAACTTCATTCATTTATCTCAGATCGAGGCTATAAACCCATTCCAAAAATTTTTAACATTACCATAATGAAAGCAATTATCACATTCAATTTAAGAAATAAAATTATTTGTGTTTAGAACAGTTTCTAAAGAAATCAAGAATATCATTCTTACCTGCCATTTGACCCTGCAATCCCAGATGACCAAAAATTGCATTACAACAAAGATATTGGTATCAGAATGTTTATTGCAGCCCAATTCATAATTGCCAGGTCATGGAAGAAGCCCAAGTGCCCATCGATCCATGAATGGATCAACAAACTGTGGTATATGTACACCATGGAATACTATGCAGCCATTAAGAAGGATGGAGACTTTACGTCCTTCATGTTCACATGGATGGAGCTGGAGAATGTTCTTCTGAGCAAAGTATCACAAGAATAGAGGAAAATGTATCCAATGTACACACCCCTATTATGAAACTAATTTATACCTTTTATATGAAAGCTATAACCAAATACCCTAAGAATATGGGGAGGGAGAGGGGAGGGGGGACTGGGTGGAGGGAGGGGGATTGGAGGGATCACTTCTGAGGTTTATCTTACAGGGGTACAAGTGAATCTTTCTAAGAGTAGAATGTGAACGTTTTAAAACAATAACTGAGAAAATGACATGAAGGCTCTGTTGACCAGTTTGATGGAAGTATTTGGGATTGCATGTGAAAACCCCACACTGTACCCCAGAAGTGCATTAATGTACATAGTTACCATTCAATAAAAAAAAGAATATCATTCTTAAGCAATGTGTCTAAAATATACTAATCAAAACTCTGCATAGCATCATAAGAATGGAGAAGCAAGAATCCAATGTACTCAATTCTAATATGAAGGCAGTAGATGAGCTAATACAAGAGGTGGGTAGAGAAGTGAGCAAATGCGGAAAGGAGAGGCAGAAAGGGCATGGAGGGTCATGGTGTATGGCGCACTTCTTGGGGGTAGGACACAATTATAAGTGGGGCTTTATCTAACAAATGCAACTTTAAGTTAACTTTATCTAACCTAATTCTTTGTAACATCAATAAATCCCAAACAATAAAAATAAATAAATAAATTCATTGAAATTAAGCAAAAAACCCCACAACTCTATGCAGACTTATAATACAATAAATACAAATGCAATAAATCTAAGTTTATCAAAGAGGAATGCAGAAAATTTTAAATAAAAATTAAAACTGCAAAGCCCCCAACTTTTATGTTCTCAGTATTCAAAATTTAACAAAAAAAGTTCCCTTTTGACTTGAAGAAGATCAAAAGCAAAAGAGAGAAACATATCACTTAGGAGCACATCATTAGCTGAATTCTGAAACATAACTTGTACATAGAGACTAATATTACTGTAATCATAAAATGCTTAAGTTTCTAAACTTAAAAAGCTTTAAAAAGCTTAAAAAGCTTAAAGAACAAATACCTAATAGTTTACAAAAGAAAATTGCAAGGCACATTCATTTAGTCTGCTTCAAGAAGTATTTTTGTGCAAAGAGAGAAAAATACTAACGTTCATCAGCATAATAAATGTATATACTCAACTTACTGGTAACATTGATTTTAGTCCTGAACGGAGGAATTCATTCCTTAAATGGATTCGAAAATCAAGCTCGTAAGGAGAAGTGACAAGGGCATTTATAAACTGCATGCAGGCCACCTGCAGTAAGAAAGCAAATTTTGTTTTAAAACACATTTAAATAAATTAACAAAATATTTACTTAATGAATTCAGACAGTGCATTCAGTAAAGGTGTACATATATAATCAGAAACCAAATAAGAAATACAAATGCTTCTACAGTACAGTGGTGATTATGGCTTTAAGTTATAAATAAAATAAACAATAAAGTTTCTGATGTCCAAAAGGATTCTATTAAGAATGGGATGGATGGTCAAGTAGGTTATGCTTTGTTACACAATATAAAGGAATATTAAACTCCATCTGAGAAACTCAAAGTACCAAAAGTGTGCATATAGAGCCGTTTGAAAAGATCATGAAATTTATCTTTCATACCTACCTGTCTTCAGAGTACACTTGGCCTCAATTCTATATGGTTATAAACACTTTTCTAAAATAAATCAAATAAAGTCATAAAAATACCCTAATACTAAACAAGGAACAGTGATAACGTAGATAAATTATTACACTGATTTACACTCTCTCCATCCTTTTATTGGGGGGAGGTGCACAGACTACATATAGTATTAAAATATATAATTAAGATGGAATAACTTACTAGGTTTGTGAAAAATTAATGCAAGTAAATTAAGATAAACCAGAAGGCACTGTGACACTAACATTTATTGCATAATAAAGCATATACCTGTGTAGGGCTTGTTTGCAAATAAAGGATTTCATTAAATATACTGACACTGGAAAATGAGTTTTGCCTTTCCTACCTTCAAATCTTGAGGTTCCTATAATCGAAAAGGACATATTTTCTCATAATTTTAAGCTAGAAGGGAATCAACAAAATACTAATTGCCAGGTGTTCCATATATTATTCCTGAATAGCATTTTTGGTAAGTGCTGCGCAAACAGGGGGCAACTGACTCATATTTTAATTGAAAAGTTCCACATTTAGGTGGTGCCTGTGGCTCAGTGAGTAGGGCGCTGGTCCCATATACCGAGGGTGGCAGGTTCAAACCCGGCCCCCGCTGAACTCCAAGAAGAAAATAGCTGGGCGTTGTGGCAGGCGCCTGTGGTCCTAGCTGCTTGGGAGGCTGAGGCAAGAGAATCACCTAAGACCAGGACTTGGAGGTTGCTATGAGCTGTGACACCACAGCACTCTACCAAGGGCAATAAAGTGAGACTCTGTCTCTACAAAAGAAAAAAAAAAAAAAGAAAAAGAAAAGTTCCACATTTAAATTGACTATTTTTAAAAGCATGCAATGAGGAGAATGCAGTTCACAGAGCTAACTCTAAGGGGACTCCTGGAAAACACCAGGTATGGTAAAGACGTTAAGTATACATAGAAGGGGACACAAATAAACCAGTAGTTACTATGGAAAAATCATTTCACCAAAAGGAAAAATAGTTTAAATGTTATTTGATTTGCCTTCTCCAAACCTATTATGATAGGTTATTTTTTTTTTTTTGAGATGGGGATAAAAGATTAAAAGTTGTACTTTACTTTCGTATCTGTGTCTCATACATTTAAACTCTTTTGGGGGAGATTAGCCCGTCTACCTCACATCTAGATTCAAAAATCAAAAGTTGTGTGCTTTCAAAGGTTGAAACAACAAAAAGGTTGTTTCCAACATTACCAGATATCTAAATGATAACTGAACAATGTAATCCAGTATTTACAAATGTTCAAATAGCAAGACAGAACATTTAGACAGCTGACTAAATATTTGCCATAGACTTGCCTAAATAGATTACTTAACCTTCCTATTTACAATATAAAATTGTGTAAGTCTTTATATAGTTTCAATAGTCCGGGCTAAAAATCTGCATACCGTACATGTCCATAACTATATTATCATTGTATTTGCTTGAATGATTCTTGTTATGTTACAGCTATGACATGACCGAACAAGCCAAAGTACATGACCAATCCAAAATTAATAGAGAGAAAAGTTGCCATCTGCTAGGATTATTTTTGCCAAAAGAAATTCTAGTTTAACGGCTTGTATTAATACCCCACAAGTAAAGAGGATATTTCTGTAAGAAACAAGTCAGTGAGTCTTGCGATTGCACCTTTACACAAATAAAAATATTCAGATCAGGGTATAATAAAATCAATATAATTAATATATCAAAATCAAAATAACTTTACATTTCATAACATAAATGTTGCAAAGCTATAAAAATTGACATGGTATATATGAATACATAGTATAATATAGTACAATATGTAGTATAATATAGTATAATACTAAAACATAGAAGTTGACTATAAGATAAAATAATTAGATGACACTTTGAGGTCAGTAATTTGAATAGGTAAAGGCATTGGTTTAAAAACGCACCATTGCCTCGGCGCCTATAGCTCAAGAGGCTAGGGTGCCAGCCAAGTATACCAGAGCTGGTGGGTTTGAAGCCAGCCCGAACCTGCCAAACAACAATGACAATTAAAACCAAAAATTGGCTGGGCGTTGTGGCAGGCACCTGTAGTCCCAGCTACTTGGGAGGCTGAGGCAAGAGAATCACTTAAGCCCAAGAGTTTGAGGTTGCTATGAGCTGTGACACCACAGCACTCTACCCAGGGCGACAGCTTGAAACTCTGTCTCAAAAAATAGTAATAATAATAAAAACAAAAAATAAAATAAAAATAAGAATGCACTATTTATTATTTATCAAATTCCAATAGACAACTATTAGTAATTACAATTAAAATGAGATAGACATTTTCAATATAATCTACTACTAGAATATCCTTTTATAGGAATATTTATATTGTATGAATGTGGGAGACAAAAATGTCATCTTAATTATTTCTAGACCCTCATGCTACCACATAATTATTGTCCTTTTCAGAAAATAGGAACATTACCAACCTCAAACTGAAATAATTGTCACTATTTATGAATACAAAATTCAATTTTTAAAAGATAATAGCTTTATGGGAAGAATATATTTTTACTTAATTATAAACATGAAATACCCCTGTGTGGATTCCAAATTCAATGCAAAATATAAACCCCCAAACCATTACCATCATTATTATTTTTATTATTATTAATTAGTAGACAATGTATTAAGTGCTTTACATAATTCACCATCTAATCTCATCCTCATAAAAACCATATGAGGTGTTATTATTAACCTTATTTCACAGATGATGAAGATAAGACTTGAAGAAGGTAAATAATTTACACAAGTTCACATAACAAGGAGCAAATTCGTGATTCTTTACTACGCACTGAATAATTTCCAGCACATTTCAAATGTCTATTGATAAACTCCATTCATAGATTCATATAACCAAAAGTTATAAGGATGGGTAACATAATAAAATTTAACTGGTGAATCATACTTAACTTATGAGAATATCTAGTCTTAAAACTATAGGTTAATTAGAATAATATACAATTTTAACAATATGTGATTTGTATAGTATATGAAATGGTTATTACAATATATAATGGAATGCAAAAAAAAAGCAAAGTTAGATTGGGTTTCTTAGATTAGGTTAAATTCTACTTCCTATACATCCTGAGCAGTAAAGTGTTAGATAACATTCTATCATACAAAATAATGATCTCTCACTCCCTCTCCTTTAAGTCCTATTACCCTACTCCCTACTCAGCATTCAAACATCTGCACCCATACAAGTGTACGTGCACACACAGTAGAGCACTGTTCTGTCCAATACAGGAACCACTAATCACAGTTTTAATTTAACTGCAATTAAATAATATTAAAAATTCAATTGTTCAGTTTTACTAGCCATAGTTCAAGTACTCAATAGCCACATGTGGATAGTAGCTACCACGTTGGACAGCAGGGACACAGTATATGGGGAAAAGTTTGATTGAACAGCACTATACCAGAGATTATAAAGAAAAAAGCTTCTGGACTAATCTCAAAAACCTAAGCTCCAAAGAAAAACTCATTCTTAGAATAATGAAAGTTTCAAAATTGCTGTGCTCTATTCCAAGTACATAAATCTTTACGAGCATTAGCAAACTCTATTGGCCTTTTACAATGCAAAATCAATTTTATTTCCAAAAAAAAAAAAATCCAGCTCCAGAGATAGAAAATAAAGGATCATGAGACCTTTAAACTAGAGAAAACATAAAATATTCTGGTCCATTATGCTCATTTAAAAGTAAAAATAAAATTTCAAATTTAGATTAGATGATTTACCCAAAATTACCAACTAATAAGCCTCAGTGATGGGAGTAGAACGAAAGTCTCATGATCTTTAGCTTTGGGTTCTTTCTAACACACTATAATGCACAAATCTGGCCTTACTGAATATCATTTTTCCTTGTAATTGACTGAAAAAAAAAGGGTCTTTGAATTGAGTATCACAAAGTCTATTATCCAGAGTTCTTCTGTTATTTAGTTTCTTTATAATGGCCTTAAGTTCCAAAATGGCCTGCCATATCTATTTTAGTTTAAAATACAGCTTCCATGAGAATCAAAATGTAAAAAATCACCAAAAATAGTGAATTATCTCCATTATTAATAAATATGCCAGGCTAGGACCACAATTCTGATGTTTAATCAGTAAATATAATCAATTTCGATATTTGCACTGTTAATCAATACTTTGTGTCATATGATGGTGGTGAAAAAAATGTATACACATTTCAAGAAAAGAAAAACCATATTAAAATTGTAATACTCAATATATGCTGATGGCAAAGGATGAATACAAGTCACCTTGAGCACCTCTTGTAACTGCAGAAGTCAAATATGACTTAAGTATTACAAATTCAATAGTTTCTTCCTTTCTTGAAAAGTGTATACATTTTTAGGCATCCTCTGTATATGCTATTGAGTAAATGCATAAGCAATACAGATCAAAATTACCAGTTTTGTGCATGTGATAAAGCATTTAATAATTTGTGCTATGTATAGTAATACGCTAAACTGAATCACTATTGGTTTTTCTGCTACATTATGATTCTTTCTTTATTATCATAGTATATTTTATTTCCATAATACTCATCTGCATTCTTTTTTTTTTTTTTTTTTTTTGCAG